TGGCCATCTACGCCATCCTGCTCATTGGCCACCACCCGGCGGTTCAGGCACGGATCGCTGAAGAGCTAAAGTCGGTCCTAGGAGGTAACAACGAAAAAGAAGAGAAAGAGGAAGAGGAAGAGCAATTCTTCACTCTGGAAACCCTAAAGCGGCTGCGCTACCTCGAGGCGGCCCTTCGCGAGGTGATGCGCCTTCACCCGCCCGGCCAAATAGTCGGCCGGCGAATCACCGAAGAGCTGCAACTCCCGAATGGGAAAAAGCTGCTGGCCGGCANCCCTTCGCGAGGTGATGCGCCTTCACCCGCCCGGCCAAATAGTCGGCCGGCGAATCACCGAAGAGCTGCAACTCCCGAATGGGAAAAAGCTGCTGGCCGGCAGTAACTGCTACATTCCACTGCTTTACGTTCATCGAGATGATCGCTACTACGAACAACCTGACGACTTTAACCCTGAACGATGGTGGACGGCCTCAAAAGAAGAAATTGACGTCGAAAAGGGAATTCAACCTCCTCCTCCTTTCGCTTTTCTAACCTTTTCAGCCGGCATCCGCAGTTGCATTGGCCAGCGTTACGCCTTTCTCGAGCTAAAGTGCGTCCTCGCAGAAGTGCTACGGCGGTTCGAGATCACTAGTGTGACAAAGGTAGAGGACATTGTCATTGGCATTGGGCCCGTGGTAACGCCCCTCACTGAGATTGGCGTCCGACTAAGTCGGAGGCGGTGGTGACTTGGTAATGATTGCAAAAAGAAATAAAATCCACCTGCCTTCCTTTTATAGTTGTTGATCATTGCTGTTCCCTTTTTTCTTTTCTAAAACTTTCTCTTCGAGCAACTTTGCCAGCTGCTCATGACGATCTGTCGAGTTGAGTCGTTCTGCAGCTGCTTTGCATCTTTTGCGTAGAGCTTCGTCGTTGAGCAGTCGATCCACTTCCTCCTTCAGCTGCTCGTCGGTAAATTTGTACGGATCGATTCGTCTGCCGTAGCCCGTCTCCAACAGCCGCTGTGCATTGTCAAACTGATCGCCGAAAAGTGGGAGACAAAGCATGGGCTTGCCCGCGGCAAAGGTTTCCGTCACCGAATTGCTAAAGAGAAAAAGATTTCAGTAATGGATTTAGTAAGGTATAAGAACTTACTTTCCACCATGGGTGATCACAATTTCAACATTAGGAATGATGGAAGTCTGGGGAAGAAAAGGACCACCCCACATGTTTGCCGGCAACGGCTTTCCACCCAATAGCTGCTCGTGCCTGGGCCCCGTTGAAACGATGTACTTGTGGGGCGAGGTGGACAGAGCGCCGAGCAGCCGATCCATCAAATCGAGGTCGACTGAGCCCATACTGCCTAAGCTGGCATAGATCAGATGACCACTGAAACGACCGCCGAGGTTGTCAGAGAGAAAAGACTGGGGAACGCCCAGCTCTGTGAGCGGCTTACGATCACCATCTTTTGGAAGATTAAAGACCTCCAGGTTGAACCAGGGCAGCGCCCGAAGCGGACCATAGTTGAGCTCCTCCGGACAGGCGTACACCGTCAGAATGGAGTTCTTAGGGACAGAATCGTTTGGGTAGCGAGCATAACCGGCGCTCTCGATCATGTCGTTGAAGCTCTTTGACTTGAAGGCAGCCGCTCGGATTTCGGCAAGGGCCGGCCACTGGCTTCGATCTTGATCACTTTCTTCTACAGATAATCCCAAACCACCCGGTGGAAGATCAGTGCCCTCGTAGTGAAAGAGCGGATTCGGCGAAATGGAATCGACCCAAGGCAAGCCCGAGTAGTAGACGGCGGGCATCGGCATGCCGTCCACGTAAAAGAGGTCCGGCTTGTAGAGAGCTATGGCCTCTTTGACGGCCCCATCAAAGGTGAGCATATCGGCGTGAAACTGCGGACTATCGAAGAGAGTGAACATGTTCTTCAGCTTCTCCAGCGGCGAGTAGGGCCCGATGACCTTTGCCTCCTGAAAGACGTGAGCGATCATCTCGCCCGGGTTGAGCTTCGCCTCGTTGAACTTTTCTTCTTGAGAAACACTGAAGACATGCTCGAGGTAGCCGAGGGAGGCCAGCTTTCCTGGAAAATGTGGTGAAAGATCATCAAGAAAATAAAAGATTTTGGAAGTTAAAAATCTGAAGCGTGAACATGCACTATTTTGACANTGAGCGATCATCTCGCCCGGGTTGAGCTTCGCCTCGTTGAACTTTTCTTCTTGAGAAACACTGAAGACATGCTCGAGGTAGCCGAGGGAGGCCAGCTTTCCTGGAAAATGTAGTGAAAGATCATCAAGAAAATAAAAGATTTTGGAAGTTAAAAATCTGAAGCGTGAACATGCACTATTTTGACAAAAATGGCTGCCAATTTGCAAAACAAAGGAAAACTATTTTTACAACTTGTTCATTTTACCGCCAAAAACAAAAAATGAGTTTTCTTTATGAAAATCAACTCAAGTTTTTTTATCCNAAAAATGGCTGCCAATTTGCAAAACAAAGGAAAACTATTTTTACAACTTGTTCATTTTTCCGCCAAAAACAAAAAATGAGTCTCCTTCATGAAGATCAACTCAAGTTTTATCCAATCTTACCTTCAAACATCTTGTTCACTACAAAGACAACCTTATGGCCACGCCGAAGCAGCCCCTTCAGTGCTCCTGCACAGGAGTTCACATGACCAACTGCTTGAATGGAGGCAACGAGAACGGTCAAACTCTGCTTCGAGGACTTCTTTTCCATCTCTGGAGATTCTTCTGTCATCAAAGACATCGTCGATGATCAGTGTTATGCAGGGAACAGTTTAAAAAAAACTGTAGCTAACAGCATTGAACAGCTATTGCCTTTATGTCTCTAGTAATATTACAAAAGCTTGCATATGGTTTTGTGTGCTTGATTAGATAACCGGCCAACAACCAACACAATTGTACGTAAAATGAAGCTCTCAAGGCCAAGCTCTCAACACTGCAGCCCTAACCTCCATGCTCAACCTTGATTAGACTCTCGCTTTATCGCTCACCACCCAAAATAGCTCCTCATGCCACAGTTGTGCCCGTTTATCATCACTGCCGACTATGAACAACACACACACGTTTACAAACGTTTCTATTTGTCTGATGTAATTGGTAAGTAAAAGTAGTTGCCGTATTTTTAAAAACTTTCATTTATTTTCGCTTCCTTTCCATCAAAAGTTCTTTTCGAGGACCACTACTACCATCATCAAATCAAACATGTCATCTTCCACGACATCAGAAAACAGAGAACGAAAGCTTACGATCATCGTCTCCTCGCCGCCGGCGGTCGGCCATGTGAACGCCTGCGCTGGAGCGCTGCGGGGCGCTCTGGCTCGCGGCCACCGGATCATCTTTGTGATTAACCGAATGTTTGAAGGTAATCAGTTTGCTGATCATATTCTCGTTTTTTGNATTAACCGAATGTTTGAAGGTAATCAGTTTGCTGATCATATTCTCGTTTTCACAAAAAATCCTATCTTTTCGAAACACCTCAGGAAAGCTGGCCAAACTGGGCTACCAAGAGCACCTCTTCTCCATGCCGAACAAGGACGCCTCCATGAATGAGGCNTCAGGAAAGCTGGCCAAACTGGGCTACCAGGAGCACCTCTTCTCCATGCCCAATAAGGACGCCTCCATGAACGAGGCAAAAGAGAACCCGGGCGAGGCGATTGCCGCTCTCTTCCAGGCCGCCCACATCATCGGCCCCTACTCGCCGCTGGAGAAACTGCGCTCCATTATGGCCACCTTTGACCAGCGGGAGCAGCTAGCGGACGCGATGGTCTTCGACGCGGCCATTAAGGAGGCCGCTGAGCTGTACAAGCCGGACCTCTTCTACGTGGACAATNCCGGGCGAGGCGATTGCCGCCCTCTTCCAGGCCGCCCACATCATCGGCCCCTACTCGCCGCTGGAGAAGCTGCGCTCCATTATGGCAACCTTTGACCAGCGGGAGCAGCTCGCGGATGCGCTGGTTTTTGACGCGGCCATTAAGGAGGCCGCTGAGCTGTACAAGCCGGACCTCTTCTACGTGGACAATGAGCTGATGCCGGCGGTCTATTACTCGGGCGTGCCCTGGGTGCGATCCATCTCCATCCACCCGCTCTTCTTCTACGAGGGGGAGGAAGTCCTGCCGCCCGGAGGAGGCGGTCTGGGGATGGACAGCGACCCGAGTACGTGGGCCGAGTGGACGGAGCTTCGTCGCAACTGGCACCAGTCCACCACCTTCAACGACCTGATCGAGGAGGCGGGCTACCCTCGCTACCCCAATGACTCATACCCGCAGAACTCCATTCTGACGGTGTACGCCTGTCCGGAAGAGCTCAACTATGGTCCGCTTCGGGCGCTGCCCTGGTTCAACCTGGAGGTCTTTAATCCTCCAAAGGACGAGGGTCTAAAGCCGCTAACAGAGCTGGGCGTTCCTCAATCTTTCCTTTCTGACGACCTGGCCGGTCGTTTCAGTGGTCATCTGATCTATGCCAGCTTAGGCAGTATGGGCTCAGTCGACCTCGATCTAATGGATCGGCTAATCAGTGCTCTGTCCACCTCCCCTCACAAGTACATCATTTCGACGGGACCTAGGCATGAGCAGTTATTGAATGGCAAACCGTTGCCAGCAAACATGTGGGGTGGTCCTTTTCTTCCGCAAACATCCATCATTCCTCATGTGGAGCTGGTGATCACTCATGGTGGAAAGTAATTTCTTATACCTTACTAAATCCATTACTGAATTCTCTTTCTCTGTAGCAACTCAGTAACTGAGACTTTTGCCGCGGGCAAGCCCATGCTTTGTCTCCCTCTTTTCGGCGATCAGTTTGACAATGCACAGCGGCTGTTGGAGACGGGCTTCGGCAGACGAATCGATCCGTACCAATTTACCGATGAGCAGTTGAGGGAGGAAGTGGATCGACTGCTAAATGACGAAGCTCTACGCAAAAGATGCAAAGCGGCCGCTGAACGACTCAATTCGACTGATCGTCATGAGCAGCTGGCCAAGTTGCTCGAAGAGAAGGTGCTGACAGCTACAAAATGATAGTTTTCGGTAGCTTTCTTAGGATTTCAAAATTAGAGACAAAGAAAGAAATTCGTTCTAAATAAAGACCAAAAAATTGCGCGCAAAAAATCAAATCCGACAGTGGCGGCGTCTGACGGCGCCGCTGCACACCAATGACAGAAGAGATTTTTTCACTGCAAAAAAGAAAGAAAACAAACGAGTTCACGCAGGAGAGAGAAAGGAGGAGGAGGAAAAGGGTGAGAGGAAACAAACAGGAGCTGACCTCATTTCGAAGTCTCGAAGTTTCAACAGTGTCAACATCAACAACAACAACAACTCCAGACCTCTCTTTCGCCATCATCATCTCCTCAATACTCCTAGAATCCCCTTCTCTTGAGACTGATTCTCAGCAAGAGAGTGTGTATCCAGCGCTACTCTTACTCCTTTGCGGCTAGCAGTGTCCACTCTCGCTGTGGTTGGTGGATACAGCATTGGATCTTCGCTGGATACCTCTCCTCTATCCTCTTCTCTCCTTTCTCTACTTTGGTGTACGTGACCTCGTAGTCTGTGGTACCAGCACAACACCACTTCGTGTTTACACTTGCACTTACCAGTTTTGGGCGCGAGCACGGCTGCTGCTGCATCGTTGGTGCTTCTATTACGCCATCAAGCTCACAAAAGGCTGCTGAAGATAAAAAGCTAGAGGGAGCATCCCATGCCTGTTTCGCCTGCCTCCAGCTCCACTACCAACACGTTCTCCAGCACTGAGGATCACCATCACCACCACCACCAAAAGAGTGGACATCAGCATCAGCATCATCATCATCGGTAGCGGAGATCCCTGAGTACGACTCTGTCAACTGCACCTACTGTACTGTACCTCTGTACCTCGACTCTGATTGCCGTTTGATATTCTCCTAAGCATCACCACTGTCACCGCCATCGATCGCGTACAGATCCCGTACAACAGTCCCTTTGCCGTANCGTCGTTTCACGCGTGTACATCATACGCCAAAGAAGAAGAAAAAGAGCAAGCACTCTGCAAAGCAAAGAAGCCCTCGTCATCGTCAGTGAAAGTTTCTACGCTTTATACACTACTCTGCGCTCCTCGCCCTCATTCGCAGCAGCAGCAGCGGCTTTGCGTTCTTCTCTTTCCTCATTCCACCTCGGCGACGGCGGCGTTGTTTGCTCAAGCAACCTCGTTATTATCGTCAAATCACCGAGGACAAATAACCCCAAACAGAAGCTGCAGCAGACTTCGACCCTATTCTGCTCTTTAGTGTTCATTCCC